ATTTATTTATTTATTTATTTATTGTGCTTCGCTTCCAAACATTATACAATAATTGCATTAAAGAAGCTGGGACACCACAACAGCTTAACACCAATTACAGTGGGCCCTTTACAAAATATCAATATAAATATAGAAAACAGAAATAATTAACAATTTATTGCCGAAGGCTAGGTGATTATCGGTAAGTAGGGACAGAGACAAAGTCGAAGTTTTCATTTAACAATAACCACCGAGCCTAAGGCGAATAATTGTTTTAGTATAATTTCATGGGTGATTATTTGGGAAAAAATAAAAATACACATTTCTTCGTCATTTAATAGTCAAAACTTAGGTGATTATCACGTTATAATCACCTCAATGGCAACGAATCAGCTTGGAAAATTTTCAATAATCACCTAAGTAATTATACTTAGTTTACTTAAGGTACGTTTACACACCGCGATCCGCCGTGTACGACTCGTATTTTGGCGAATCCAATCGAGTAGGCACGCGTCAATTGTGCAATTAAAAGTTTCGCTTCAATTCAGATTTTTGGAATTGAGGCATCAAATGAATTATACACCAAAATCCGAATCGCACAGGACAAATCGCAATGTGCAAACGCCCCTCTAGTAACAGCAAGTTAATGGTCGGATGAGACTTCTGCTTTTGTTACATTTGACACAGACAGTCTTCCAAGTTCGTGGATCGTCAACGTTGTAGCAGGATCGTAATGCAGTCAAGTAGTATGCTAATATTCCTTTCTTAAATTGAATAAAAGATAGATTAATAAGCCTTAAATGCTCCGGGAGAGAGTTCCAAGTTCTAGTTGTACGAAGAAAGAATGATCGATTATAAGTTGTTGTTTTATGTTTTCGTTGACGGAATGAGATTGCGTTGACATTAGCAGATGATCTTGTGACCCTTACAGGAGCAATACGTTCAGGTAAGGAATTTTGAGATATCGATACAATGCCAGTAATAGCTTTGAAGAAAAACATTAAGTCTAAATATTCATGCCAAAATGAGAGGGGAAGAAGTTCTGTCGAAATGAGTCTGTCTTTATAGGATACGTCACACATGAATGGGAGGCCTAGAATAAACTTTGAAGCTCGGCGTTGAACACGTTCCACTCGGTTGATGAGCTCCACCGACTGCGGCGACCACACTTGAGTGGCGTAGCCCAGCGCTGGTCGCACAACTGCCAAATACAATGCACGGCGAATCCTTTTATCCGTGATTTCCGTTGCAGATCTACGTACGAACCCAAGCATCCTATTGGCTGCGGCACATCGATCTAGGGTGTGTTTGGACCATGTCAGATTACTAGTAACCCAAACGCCAAGATCCTTCTCCTCTGTTGTTACTGCGAGGGTTTTGTTTTTGATGGTGTAGGGGAATTCAGTGGTAGACTTTTTCCTGGTAATTCTCTGACACTTGCATTTATTTTGATTAAATACAAGTCCAGAAGAAGTCGACCACTCCTCAAGATTATCAAGATCACTTTGAATCGAGGCACCGTCTATGTGAGAATCGACACACTTGAATAATTTTGTGTCGTCAGCAAAAGAAGCTACTTTTGCATTATTCACCACATCAGGTAGGTCGTTAACATAAAGGAGAAAGAGTATTGGACCCAGGATAGAACCTTGAGGGACACCAGACATAACAGGTTTTTCAGATGATGTAGCCCCTAGAACAGTCACGCGTTGCCTTCTGTTCAACAAGTAGGAGGAGAACCAACCGAGTAAACTACCAGAGATGCCAAAGCAGTTGTAAAGTTTATGAATAAGAATTTGGTGGTTAACTTTATCAAAGGCTTTGGACATATCCATGTAGATCACGTCAGTTTGTTTCCCAGCGTCCAGTAAAGATCCTATATAGTCGTGCACTTCCACCAGCTGGGAAGTACAAGATTTTCCTGGAATAAAACCATGTTGGGAGTTGTTGATCAAGACTACCAAGTGATCTCGGATGTTACGAAGAACACAGCGCTCGAGAACTTTCGAAATTATAGAGAGGAGAGAAATGGGGCGGTAGTTTTCAACTTGATCCTTTTCCGCTTTCTTGTATACAGGTACAATGTTTGCTAGCTTCCAATCATCAGGTACAACTCCACAACTAACAGATTTATTAAATAACTTAGTTAGTGAAGGTGCAATCTGGTTGGCAGTTTCTTTCAAAAGTTTAGGCGAGATGTTATCAGGTCCAGTCGCTTTGCTGGTATCAAGCGCTAGAAGTGTTTCCTGAACTTCTTCTGTAGTAAATTGGACGTCTGATAATAGTGAATCTGTAGCTGGTGGTTGGGAAGGAGGCAAAGATACATCAGAATCACTGTTCGTGAAAACAGATGAGAAATAGTTGTTGAATATCTCCGCGATGGTAATGGGGGTTGAAGCAGTTCGAAATTGTGACGAAGCAGACACATCAGCGTTACCCATTGACATGGACTCAGGAACGCTGGATTCTTTGTTTGTTAGCTTAAATATCGACCAAAATCTTTTTGGGTTTAGTTGGAAGTTAACATCAAGGGAGGAAAAGAAATTTTTACGGCTAGACTTAACCATTTTTTTAACGTTAGCTCGTAATTCTCTGAACTTGGTCTTTAAGGAAACAGTCGGAGATGATTTAAGCTTTCGTCGCACAGCTTCCTTTTGTCGTAAGGCGTGGATGACTTTGCCATTTAACCAAGGAGGGTTTTCTTTAAGAGAGTGGGTCTTATTTGGATGCATAGACACTCAAAATGAACAGTATAGAATTAATAGTATTTCGTATTACCTTAATGCAATAATATTACAAGTAGTTTCATGAACATGAAAACAGGTGTTTACTATTGTATAAACAGCAAGTTTGACAACCAGGTGCAAGTATATGCTATGTCAAGGATATATTATGATTGATGGGATTTCCCGGTATCAAGACATGTCCATTTAAAGTAAAGTGTCATTAAGGCCTAATAGCCGTTTTCCGTTTACGCGGGTTATATTTTTATAGGGTTGTCAACGTTGTTATAAATTAACTCAACATGAAGGCTTTAATTCGACAAAATCGTTGCTGGAATCATCTGCGCTTTCAGCATTTTCACTGACAAATTCATTGCGTGAACCGAAAACATTTGCTGCAATTTTATCGCGCAATAAATTTCTGCCTGCTTTAGTTTTTTCATCGAAAGTTTGATCCTTGTATACTAATTCCTGATAACGAATTGAATGTTTCATTAAAATCGCCAAACTTTTTCACACATTTGCTTCTTTGCTTTCATCAAGTGTAGAGAAATAGGCCACAAGCGCATGTCTTAGAGCTCTGGTACTAGCGCGGATGGAAGTCTCGCGTTGAAATATATCTCCAATGTATTTAGCAATGGAACTACTGCTTTGAAATGACTCCCCCGTAAGCATTTAGAAAGAAAAAATCATGCGATTTTCCAAGCATTAAAGTTGGCTGTGCTTTTAGCATACAATCACAAATAATACCATAATTCTAAATCATCAGATAGCCGTGTCACGCTTGGACCCAAACTTTTGGAACTTTTAAACTCAGACTGAACAAGATAAATGTTTTCGCCAAGGTCGAATACTATCAAATTTCCTGTTTCAAAATTGCATATATCAAAAGCTTCATGTTTTTCAGATTCTACATATAGTTTCAAGGTGCAAATTTCCTTTGAACGGCCAGACATGGCCCTTACATTTAAGGCCAAAAGTACGAAATTGTGGAGGTATCCGACTTTTTCAAGCCCGCTTAAATTATGTAAAATTTCCAAAACATGTGCAAAATAAAACTTCTCAGAAGACGTTTTGTTGAAACCTTCTTTTGAACGCGCTTTCAGAATGCAATTCTCCTTCGAAAACTGACACATAGAACTTCAATAAGCTTGAATTTCATGCACATGCTCTATATCAACTGCAGCATCATGCATCTTTTTTGTATACTTTACAACATTAATGGCTACTGTTAGAAAACTAACAATCGTAGATGGCTTAAGCTTGCGAACATCCTTCAAATACTCAATATATTTTGTGTACAAGTTTGTGTCATTAAAAAGTGATAAGGGCAGACTGGACATTTTTTCAATATTTTTGCAATAGAACATAAAACTCATTAACCTTTCAACTAACTTGTCCAGAGAGTTCTTGGACAATTGTGGCCTGCTACGAGTTGGATTTAAGTCGTTTTCGTAATAGTTATGCAACGATTTTACTTTGGGTTTTAGTTCTTGTCCGGCGTCTTCGAGTGACAGGACACTGATCGACCTCCGTTTTACAGGAGAATTCACTGGAAGTTGAACTTGTTCAGACGGCGACTAAGCTCAATATTCATTTTCGGAACTGTCACTAGCACTGTAGTTGACTATTCCTTTGTCATCTGAATGCATAAAGCTTTCGGTTTCCACGGGGCTTTCACTTGTAACACTAATCCTGTTCTGATCCATCTGCAAAGCAGACAGATTTTCGTTTACATTTGTAGAAGATGTACTAGTGCATGTGGAAATTGTTTCAAAATATTTCTTTCTTGCACGTTTGTTAGTCGCTCTATAGTCAATAAGTCTGTGAACGTTTTTGCTGTAATGAGCCCGAAAGACCCACACAGTTGTTGATTACCACTGCGAAATACCACTCTTTCCTCCACTGTACAAACCACAGTAGCTATGTCCAAAACTTTCAACCAAACGCGAACAGTACTTTTTGGTGCAGTGGGAAAAACAGAACTGCAAACTTCCATAAAACAATAATATTTCTGGTCATTCCGCTCGACATAACATAGAGAGTCCATTGGCATGCAGCCAGTCAGTCAGTTTAATTAAGCCTATATGAACAAAAGGACAAATAGTTAAAAAATGGTTAAAATAGCAAGTTAGATTTTTCAAATTACGTTTTCGGGAATATAGATTTAGTTTGTCTACATGAATTACAGATAATTATAAACACGAATTGGAAACTAGATTATCCTTTTTGCGATAGTTTCACACATAAGCAAAAATTGGTCAACATAGACTGGAATTTCAAAACATATACACTGATAAATATACACTAAGTTGACAAAGCGCTAAATTTGTCCAAAATCTCAAAATATCTTCACCTTTTAGACCAAATAACCCTAACCCATACTGAAACATTGCCATCGACCCCACCCCTAAGGATCTCAACCGCGACCCCACCATATCTCATCATTATTGGACTGTCAGTGGGGATGCTTTTATTGCTTTTGGGTCTGCTTTGCAGTTATAGCCTCTGGGTGGCGCGACAGCGACAAATAAGCGTTGTTTTACATCAACAAAGGCTCTCTGAGATTGAACTGCCATGATCAGTTGGATGGTTGGGAAGTAACGAAAACATAGTAACATTATCCCACACTACGTTGTAAATATGAATATTACTTTCATTACCTTTTTATGATGATAGGTCTTATATGTGTAAAAAAATAAGTATATGTACAATTTATGAACACTAATATACACTGAAGTTCTTTATAGGTGTTGCATATATGATTTTAACAGGGCTGTTCATTTTAGTGTGTTTTAAAGAGAGTGGGTCTTATTTTGGATGCATAGACACTCTAAAATGAACAGTATAGAATTAATAGTATTTCGTATTACCTTAATGCAATAATATTACAAGTAGTTTCATGAACATGAAAACAGGTGTTTACTATTGTATAAACAGCAAGTTTGACAACCAGGTGCAAGTATATGCTATGTCAAGGATATATTATGATTGATGGGATTTCCCGGTATCAAGACATGTCCATTTAAAGTAAAGTGTCATTAAGGCCTAATAGCCGTTTTCCGTTTACACGGGTTATATTTTTATAGGGTTGTCAACGTTGTTATAAATTAACTCAACATGAAGGCTTTAATTCGACAAAATCGTTGCTGGAATCATCTGCGCTTTCAGCATTTTCACTGACAAATTCATTGCGTGAACCGAAAACATTTGCTGCAATTTTATCGCGCAATAAATTTCTGCCTGCTTTAGTTTTTTCATCAAAAGTTTGATCATTGTTTACTAATTCCTGACAAGGAATTGAATATCGCGTTAAAATCGCCAAACTTTTCCGCACATTTGCTTCTTTGCTTTCATTGATTGTAGAGAAATAGGTCACAAGCACATGTCTTAGAGCTGTGGTACTAGCGCGGAGGGAAATCTCGCATTGACATATATCTCCAATGTATTTAGCAATATATCTCCAATGTATTTGGCCGTGGTTTAGCATACAATCACAAGCAATACCATAATTCTAAATCATCAGATAGCTGTGTCACGCTTGGACCCGAACTTTTGGAAGTTTTAAAGTCAGACTGAACAAGATAAATGTTTTCACCAAGATCGAGGTGCAGTTACGTTCTTTGTATCGAGCTTCTCTCTGAAATTTGTCATTGTTCGAATTTCACGTACAGAACTTGCTTACTATTGTATTTTCTGAACATGAAGTATTTAAAGTAGTTGTCATGGTAATACAGTAATTTTGTTAAGAATATTTTTACAAATGAAAAATTGCCTAAAAATATCACTTTAAATTATGAAATTACAATTCCAGAAACATATTTATGAACTTACGGTCACAGCTCAACAGCTGGCCTCGGTAGCTCAGTTGGTTAGAGTGTTGCTGCGGAATCGCAGGGCCGTAGGTTCGATTCCTACCAGAGGACCTTGTGCTGCATTTTTCGCAGTCGTTCCTGGTTAGGTCTTAAAATGTATATATTCTCACTTGGATTACAAACCCTAACATCCTAATATTTATAAAATAGCCTTTTAAAAACACGGGCGTTGATTGGTCAAAAGCTCAAAAAACCTGTGTTTCTATAACTCGATAGAAAGATGGGGAATTTTCATGTCGATTGTGTGGATTGTGCGGGAGTTTAAAAGACAAAATACAAACAATATTTAATTTTGAAAAATGTCCCGAAACGCCGAAGAACCGTTACAAAAAAGGCAACACTTTGCTAACTTAGAAACCAAGACCTAAAGCACAAAGTATAATTATAGCACACGTTATATCTGTTTGACTGTTTACCAGGGTAAGATATTTTAATTTTACTTTGTCTTTTTAAAAAAATATTTCCTCGTGTCGTTTTTAATCATGTTTTACTATTAGTTTTTAATCATGTTTAAACGTTCACTAACTATTTAAAACAATGCTTTCTTTGCATGCAAGCATGTACGTTGTTGAGTGAATTATATACTTAGTAAAGTAAGCCTGTTAAGTGCTGTCTGTTGTTTTGGCAGCGATATACTTGTTTACTTCGCTATGCTTTTATAATTATTCTTTACACGAACATATATTAAGGTGGAATTAATATTTGAATGAAAGCAATTAAAATCAATAAATTTATCTTTTCTATTGGTTTTAAAAGGCTATTTAATAAAGGATTTCGTGCTCGTGTTCCCACACAATTTCTCGTTTCTCCCAAACTTTCACGTGTGTTTCTATAACTCTATAGAAACACAGAAAATGTTTTCTAATTCTTAAATATGTTAGTTATGTTATTATACGTAATATAAGAGTCAATTTAAGGTAAAATTCAACCTCAAATGCTTTGAAGACATTTTAAAGTGATGTTCTTTATTGAAAAACTTTGAGTTTGAAATAAAATGATTTCAAATTGTCACATTCAAACAACTTTGCTTTCTTTTTTATTTAAAAATTGTAATATAATAAAAAAGGAAAGGGGTAATCAATAAAGAAACACTGAAATTATATGCTGTCTTTTTCATTTAAAATATATGCAATG